ATTTGCTCATTTTTAAAATTTCCTGTCACTCCAAGATTCTTGAGGGACACTGCTTTCTTTTGTGAGTGTAAATTACCTTAGATTTCTCCTGCAGTTTTTGTAGTCATTTTTAATGCTCTCATCTTCCTGTCCTCTTCCTAAGAGTAGACAAAAAAATCATTATGAATTACTACAGTGTTATAGAAAAATTATTAAATCCTAGGTAGGTTCATGGTATAATGTGCTCATGACTGGAATATTCATCAAAGTTTTTCTTTACTTAGTCCAAATCATGAAGCAACATTGATGAATAAGAAACACTTGTTCTCTGATTGATTATATAAGACAATGATATTACTCTTACCTAGAGAAGCCAGGTTCCTGAAGGTTTCCCGCATCACATTTCTGTACAGCTTCTTTTGAGAAGGATCCAGCAAAGCCCACTCCTCCAGGGTGAAGTTCACAGTCACATCCTCAAAGGTCACTGACTCCTAAAACATCCCACACATTTCCAGCAGGAAAGGTGAGACTTGCTTTACTGGAAATCCATATTCACTACATAGTAAGATCACATGATTCTATGTTCTCTAAATGTTCATTCCATATTACTCAGTCATAAAGAAAAATGACATTACAGCATTTGAATTGGAGACTATCGTGCTAATGAAATAAGCCAATCCCCCAAACCAAAGGCAAAATATTGTCTCCGATATGTGGATGTTATCATACAATAAGGGTGGGGGATGGATGAATAGAAGTTCATTGGGTTAGATAAAGAGGAATGAAGAGAAGGGAGTGGGGAGGGAATAGAAAAGACAGTAGAATGAATTGGACATAACTTTCCTCTGATCATATAAGAATACACAGGGTAACTCCACATCATGTACAAACACAAGAATAGGAAGTTAAACTCCACGTATGTATAATATGTCAAAACATAGTCTATTGTCATGTATAATTAAAAATAACAAATTAAAAATCTTTAAAAAATGTTCATTCCACTTCTTGGTCATCACACTAATTCTGACACTAGACTAGGGAACCATTTAGTAAAGTGACAGCAGAACAAGAACACCTGTCATGCTGCTGGGTCACCCAACTTCTCTTTGTACAGAGTGTGCACAGCACCTCTCACAACAAACTGCTACTACTCAGTGTTCACAAGAGAGTTAACAGCATCTGTACTGAGACTGCATGTTCTCAGAAATGCTTGAGAACAGAGTTTGACCTTTGCTGGTGTGTTTGGGAACTGCTCTTGGGATGGATCTCAGAAGCCTACCTTTAAAGAGGGGTTAGCTGTCCCTAACCAGTTTCTGCCACCACATGATATTTGTCTAACTCCTATTGTCCCTGTGAATGTTTGCAAGTTTCTGACAGGTTCATCAGAGGAAGCCTACCTGATAAGCCCCCAAAATACACTAT